GTCAAAACCAGCCCATCAGTCGACATACATACTCTACCACAGCCAAAAACATCCAATACATCGTCAAAACCAGCCTGTCAGTCGAAATACATACTCTACCACAGCCAAAAACATCCAATACATCGTCAAAACCAGCCTGTCAGTCGAAATACATACTCTACCACAGCCAAAAACATCAAAACAAAACCAGCCCATCAGTCGACATACATACTCTACCACAGCCAAAAACATCCAATACATCGTCAAAACCAGCCTGTCAGTCGACATACATACTCTACCACAGCCAAAAACATCCAATACATCGTCAAAACCAGCCTGTTAGTCGAAATACATACTCTACCACAGCCAAACACATCCAATACATCGTCAAAACCAGCCCATCAGTCGACATACATACTCTACCACAGCCAAAAACATCCAATACATCGTCAAAACCAGCCTGTCAGCCGAAATACATACTCTACCACAGCCAAAAACATCCAATACATCGTCAAAACCAGCCTGTCAGCCGAAATAAAACACAGCCAAAAACATCCAATACATCGTCAAAACCAGCCTGTCAGTCGAAATACATACTCTACCACAGCCAAAAACATCCAATACATCGTCAAAACCAGCCTGTCAGTCGAAATACATACTCTACCACAGCCAAAAACATCCAATACATCGTCAAAACCAGCCCATCAGTCGACATACATACTCTACCACAGCCAAAAACATCCAATACATCGTCAAAACCAGCCTGTTAGTCGAAATACATACTCTACCACAGCCAAAAACATACCACAGCCAAAAACATCCAATACATCGTCAAAACCAGCCCATCAGTCGACATACATACTCTACCACAGCCAAACACATCCAATACATCGTCAAAACCAGCCTGTCAGTCGACATACATACTCTACCACAGCCAAACACATCCAAACACCAGTACATCAAAAAACCAACCTGTCAGTCGACATACATTCTCTACCACAGCCAAAAACATCCAATACATCGTCAAAACCAGCCCATCAGTCGACATACATACTCTACCACAGCCAAAAACATCCAATACATCGTCAAAACCAACATGTAAGTCGAAATACATACTCTACCACAGCCAAACACATCCAATACATCGTCAAAACCAGCCCATCAGTCGACATACATACTCTACCACAGCCAAAAACATCCAATACATCGTCAAAACCAGCCCATCAGTCGACATACAACTCTACCACAGCCAAAAACATCCAATACATCAGTCAGTCGACATACATACTCTACCACAGCCAAAAACATCCAATACATCGTCAAAACCAGCCCATCAGTCGACATACATACTCTACCACAGCCAAAAACATCCAATACATCGTCAAAACCAGCCCATCAGTACCACAGCCAAAAACATCCAATACATCAAAACCACATACATACATACTCTACCACAGCCAAAAACATCCAATACATCGTCAAAACCAGCCTGTCAGTCGAAATACATACTCTACCACAGCCAAAAACATCCAATACATCGTCAAAACCAGCCCATCATACATCGTCAAAAAACCAGTCAAAACCAGCCTGTCAGTCGAAATACATACTCTACCACAGCCAAAAACATCCAATACATCGTCAAAACCAGCCCATCAGTCGACATACATACTCTACCACAGCCAAAAACATCCAATACATCGTCAAAACCAGCCTGTCAGCCCAAAACACTCTCCACATACATCGTCAAAACCAGCCCATCAGTCGACATACATACTCTACCACAGCCAAACACATCCAATACATCGTCAAAACCAGCCCATCAGTCGACATACATACTCTACCACAGCCAAAAACATCCAATACATCGTCAAAACCAGCCTGTCAGTCGAAATACATACTCTACCACAGCCAACAACATCAACGATGTCATCAAAACCAGCCCATCAGTCGACATACATACTCTACCACAGCCAAACACATCCAATACATCGTCAAAACCAGCCCATCAGTCGACATACATACTCTACCACAGCCAAACACATCCAATACATCGTCAAAACCAGCCCATCAGTCGACATACATACTCTACCACAGCCAAAAACATCCAATACATCGTCAAAACCAACCTGTAAGTCGAAATACATACTCTACCACAGTCAAAAACATCCAATACATCGTCAAAACCAGCCTGTCAGTCGAAATACATACTCTACCACAGCCCAAAACATCCAATACATCGTCAAAACCAGCCTGTCAGTCGAAATACATACTCTACCACAGCCCAAAACATCCAATACATCGTCAAAACCAGCCTGTTAGTCGAAATACATACTCTACCACAGCCAAAAACATCCAATACATCGTCAAAACCAGCCCATCAGTCGACATACATACTCTACCACAGCCAAAAACATCCAATACATCGTCAAAACCAGCCTGTCAGCCGAAATACATACTCTACCACAGCTAAACACATCGAAGATGTCATCAAAACCAGCCCGTCAGTCGACATACATACTCTACCACAGCCAAACACATCCAACACATCTTCAAAACCAGCCCATCAGTCGACATACATTCTCTACCACAGCCAAAAACATCCAATACATCGTCAAAACCAGCCCATCAGTCAAAATACATACTCTACCACAGCCAAAATCATCAAAGACATCGCCAAAACCAGCCCATCAGTCAAAATACATACTCTACCACAGCCAAAATTATCAAAGACATTGCCAAAACCAGTCCGTCCGTCGAAATACTTACTCTACCACAGCGAAATACATCAACGATGTCATCAAAACCAGCCTGTCAGTCAAAATACATACTCTACCACAGCCAAAAACCTCTCCACCTAGGCATGCCTGAAACCAAATTGGGACAGAAGCAATGCATTCCTACAGATGAGAAAGGATTTTAAAGAACTTGCTTTATTTCCCATTTTAATTTGGGCCCAGACCCACAGCTTAAGTAAAATTAGTTCCCCTTCTACCAAGGATGCTTTAGACCAATTTGGTCAAAATCTGCTTTCTCATTCATGACTTTTAGCAATTTGTAGGAAAAGTTGATGGATGGCATATAACAGATGCTATGGTATGGCTTAAGCTAAGCTCACTAGTTACAAGGTTCACTAAAATTGATTAATGCCACAATTATAGACCAAGGGGCCTTAGGGGGACCTACATATAACCTGAGAAAGATATCAATCCATCCACCACTTCTCAAGAAATAGTGATAACAAAACTTTCAAAATACAAGATAGCCACCTATCATCCCCTCCCCCACCACTTCTCTTGTCATTGCCAACAGAGTTTATTCATAAAATCATGAAATGGTATTTAATTTGGATGACATGAGATATACATTCTTTTCAATTAGAACCTTGATTTCAAATTTGAACATGTTTGTATAAATAAATATTCAGTGATGAACAAGCCCACTAAACGCTTTAACGTTGGTCATAAAAAAAAGTGAGCCAATATGAAGAAGTCAAAACACAAGTATGGAGGAGTATGGAGGAATGATGTGTACAGTAATTTGTTGAGTTTGTCAGCTTAAATAAATAAGTTTAATCTTACACGGGACGAGCACTTTCAATGTTGAAATCCATTCAGTAGTTATGAGTAGCTAATACATCGCTGAATTCCCAAAGGGGTACAAGTTTCCAAAAATGGCAGATAACTCTACCTGATATTGATTACGCACATTTGCAATGTATGAGCATCATTGCCAGCATGTTACATTTAGTAGTATAAGAGAAGTAGATGATATATCATTACATTCCTAAAGCTCAACCGAATATAGATTACAAGCATCTATAACGATAAAGATTATAGCCGACAAGTGTCATTGAAATCAATTCAGTAGTTTAGGAGGAGTAGCTGGTACACATCTTTATATCTACAGACAAACTTACGGATGGATAGACAAATGGAAAGACAACCTGGTTCCAGTATAACATCCCCTTTCCCTCTTCTTTACTTCATGGAAGGGCGGGGTGGGGTGGGGTGGGGTGGGGTGGGGTGGGGCAGGGTGGAGGTTTTAGGCCCAAGGGGAGGGAGAAGGTTTAACCATATATACACAATTTGATTCTCTTTCTCTGTGGATGCTTCTGACCAGAATCTGCAGGTAATCAGACCCTCAAGACCAGTGGTGCTTTTCAGAGAGAAAAAAATTGGAAAAAAAGTTAACAGATGGAAACCTGACACTTGACAGACAATGTGCTAAGGTAAGTTAAAAATTCAATTTAAAACATCTAATCTGACATTATAATATAATTTATGAGCAGTAAAACAATTTCAGTTTAGAAAGTCTACATCTCTTCTTGGTCAACAGGCCAATTCTTGCATATGAAAATATGGCTATCCTAGAGTTTTCCATTCTCTAGAATGCTGTTGAAAAAAATAGAATTTCTATTTCAATTGTTAATGTTTGATACAGCCATCATCAATTTACTTATACGAGGGGGATCTCTGATCCTCTGAAATCGTAGGCAGTCAGACCACCTTTACTAAAGAAGAAATACACATATGGTAACAAACCAGAAATTGGTATGAAAAATCTGGATTTTCAGCATAGATCATAAACAATGTTAAATGCCCAAAAAATAAATGTTAAATAGAAATAAAAGCAGTATCAATAACTCAGTAATAAATCTTTATTTCTTTTTGGTTTTCATTTTATTCATTTTCATTTTTTTCACTTCATTAAGCTGAAATAATTCTTTCAAAACATAAAAGTTGTCACTAAATTATTGAACTGTATTTCTATCAATCTGTATTCATTTATCCATTTATTATAAATTATTTATCCATGTTTTATGGAAGCTTAAATAATTTTTTTTTATAAAAATTGACTGTTGAATAAATATTTCTCATCTTCCTTGTCTTTTTACTTCTCAAATTTTACACAATACTTGCATATTATTTATGAGTTTATGAAAAGAAAATTCTTTCAAAGAAATCTTTACAACTTTAAATGAAAGTACTATAAAAAAAATCATAAAAATAACACATGTTCAGATCAAGCTGTCCTGTTTCAACTATTACTTAATGTATCAATAGGGTAGGACTGAGCATACAAAGAATTAATTGGCAATTGTGTTGTGTGAAACCATAACTGAAAATTCAGATTTTGGTAAATCAATATTCAGAATCAGAGCTAGCCCTGAATCTTAACTTATTAATTATGTACCACATATCAGCTCAGCTATATTCAATGATTTATTCACTTCTTCAATATTCCAAATTACTCTGCAGACAACTTTATGACAATTTTATTTTATGTTCCAACTGAAAATTGAACCCAGTCACTAATATCTATTGTAGCTTGTTGTATCCTCCTGTTCTAGTCAACACAAAGCATAAACATCATCCAGTCTTGAACTAGGCACCCTCGTCTGTGAACACCTTTTCATTGGAGGGAAAAAATCTCATCTTTTATTTTTTGGATCTCCTGTTCAACTTTTTCAACCGCTTTATTCACCACTTCAGTATTAGGCCCAGATACAACTACATGACCATCTTTTTGTACAGTCAATTCAAAATTGAGTCCAGTTCCTGATATAAATCGTTTGATGTTAGATCCTCCTTTACCAATGATCATTCCACATATTTGCTCATGAAAATAAGAATCTTCATCTGTAAACACCTTTCTGTGGAAGGGAAAATTGATCCTATCCTTTATTCTTTGGATCTCCTGCTCAACTTTTTCTATCGCTTCATTCACCACTTTCACATTAAGCCCAGATACAACTATATGACCAGTTTTTTGCACAGTCAAATCGAAATCGAGTCCAGTTTCTGATACAAGTCGCTTAACATTAGATCCTCCTTTACCAATGATCATTCCACATATTTGCTCATGAAAATAAGAATCTTCATCTGTAAACACCTTTCTGTGGAAGGGAAAATTTATCTTATTCTTTAAACTTTGGATCTCTTGTTGAACTTTTTCTACCGCTTCATTCACCACTTTCACATTAGGCCCAGATACAACTATATGACTACCTTTTTGCATGGTCAATCTAAAATTGAGTCCTGTTTCTGATACAAGTCGTTGGACATTAGATCCCCTTTTTCCGATGATCTTTCTACCTATCTGCTGATGACGATCAGCATCCCTATCAGTGAAAACCACTTGATTGAAGGGAAAAATTGTTTCATTCTTTATTCTTTGGATCTCCTGTTGAACTTTTTTCACTGCTTTATTCACTACTTCTGCATTAGGCCCAGATACCATTATATAACCACTTTTATGCCTGGTCAATCTAAAATTGAGTCCAGTCTCATATACAAGTTGTTTGACTTTAGATCCTCCTTTTCCAATCACCATACTAAATATCTTCTCATGAATATCAGCATCCTCATCTATGAATACGAATTCATGAAAAGGAAAAATTGTTTCATTCTTTATTCTTTGGATTTCCTGTTGAACTTTTTCTACCGCTTTATTCATCAATTCAGCATCAGGCACAGATACAACTACATGACCACTTTTTTGCATGGTCAAATCAAAATTGAGTCCAGTTTTTGATCTTAATCGTTGGATGTTAGATCCTCCTTTACCAATGATCATTCTACCTATTCGTTCACGAAGATCAACATCCTCATCTATGAACACCACTTCATTGAAGGGAAAAATTGTTTCGGTTTTTATTCTTTGAATCTCCTGTTGAACTTTTTCTACGGCTTTATTCACCACTTCGACATCGTGTCCAGATATAACTATAGGACCTCCTTTTTGAATAGTCAATTCAAAATCTAGTCCAGTATCTGATATAAATCGTTCAACACCAGTTCCTCTTTTTCCAATGATAATTCTACCTATTCGTTCACGAAGATCAGCATCCTCATCTATGAACACCACTTCATTGAAGGGAAAAATTGTTTCATTTTTTATTCTTTGGATCTCCTGTTGAACTGTTTCTACCGCTTTATTCACCACTTCAACATCGTGTCCAGATACAACTACATGACCACCTTTTTGTAAAGTCAATTCAAAATTGAGCCCAGTATCTGATGCAAGTCGTTTGATGTTGGATCCACCTACTCCAATGATTTTTCTTCCTATTTGCTCATGCAAAGCGGAATGCTCACCTGTGAACACCTTTCTGTTAATGGGAAAATTGACCTTATTCTTTATTCTTTTGATTTCCTGTTGAACTTTTTCTACAGCTTTATTCACAACTTCAGTATTAGGCCCAGATACCATTATATGACTACTTTTTTGCAAGGTCAATCTAAAATTGAGTCCAGTTTCTGATACAAGTCGTTGGACATTAGATCCTCCTTTACCAATGATCATTCTACCTATTCGTTCACGAAGATCAACATCCTCATCTATGAACACCACTTCATTGAAGGGAAAAATTGTTTCATTTTTTATTCTTTGAATCTCCTGTTGAACTTTTTCTACCGCTTTATTCACCACTTCGACATCATGTCCAGATATAACTATATGACCACCTTCTTGTATAGTCAAATCAAAATTGAGTCCAGTTTCTGATATAAATCGTTTGACATTATAGCCTCTTTTTCCAATAATTAATCTGACTATTAGCTCACGAAGATTTGCATCCTCATCTGTGTACACATTTTTAGTAAAGTTTTGCTGGTGTTCTGACCTCTTTGTGACGAATCTTTGGATTTGGCTTCTTTTCTCTTCTCTTGCACTCTCTAATCCATCATCTTTGCTTCGTGTGCTGAACCCAAATCCACTTCTTCGTATGTAATCTACTTTTTCACTTACGTATAACCTGCGAGGAAACTTCGGATCTGTTAAGAATTGTCGAGAGTGCTTGGGTTTTACTAACGATAGACAGTGGTGCAAATGCTGGTTTTGAATCAACATAACATTTCTTACCGCACTTACGCTTGCAATCCGATGTCGGTTATTAATAAGGCGACAAGAAATCCTACTACGATACCTTTTGGCGAAGTTAGAAATGAAAGTCGCCATGATGCCTATTCGTTCCGATAAACACGTGGAGTCTGTTCTTTTATGAAGACAAATCGGTCTATACCTCTTGCACCCTTGAAATGTAATATTTCAGACCTACATCGAGACGGACTTGACAACATCAATACATATATTTTAAAACTTTACTAGCGTTCGTTAGAAACCTAAACTAGACCTGTATGTTATCCCTCATTTCATATCTGAGCAGGTCTAGTAAAACAGATCTAACCGATAATTAACAACGGCCCCGCTTGCGTGGTCTTCCTAAAACACGCCTATACATACAGAAAGTAACATAAAGCTTCAACAACCGGCATCTACAAACGTGGTAACAGAGGCCTTAGTAGGCTGAATGACAACAATTATCAAAGCAGGTAACAGGAATTACACAACCATTACTGTACAGTAACAGTTTAATAATTAAATTAGTTACATATGTATCACTTGTACATTAATTGAAATTAAATCATGTTTCGTTTTGTTTGTTAATTAATAGTCTGTCTGTTACCTGTACTGTGTATTTTGGAAAGTACCTGTCCTAGTTATAGTGTAGTCACGTGTCGTGCATGTGCCACGGCAAAGCCCGTCCAGTACATGTCCTATGATGTCCTTATTTGGAGTTGTTGTCGTCTCATATATAAATCAGATATGTGAGTTGTAAGGAAAGCATTGTAGGTGTGTGAAGTTTTAATAAAAAAAACTAAAAGAACCCGTGCTAATATTGCAGTTGTTCGCATCTCCTTGTGAAGGAAATATCATCCGGATTCCTACGAATTATACCTAATTACTACTGGTAACATGAAAAAAGTACAAGTATCATATGACCAGGTGTTTCGGAAGGTAAGCGTCTTCTGTTTTATCGACGACACACATGCAATCATGCTTAACGTTAATCCACCTAAGTAATCAGATCAGAACAAAGTAAACAGCAACGGAACCCGAATGTATACTAACGAGCATCGAACACGTCCGACTTCATATAGCACAAATTATCTCCTGTGAGATTAGTATGGCGTCCGCAAATCTCTCCATAATCTTCACCAACCTGTATCTCTCAAAACCATTTGTCGTGAATTTGTCTGTCAGTTGCCTACATCTTTCACGAAATCGTATATCTGGAACAAGCCCTTGATTTATGGGTTATCAAAACGCCAACTTTCCAGTAAAAAAAAATGTCGATAGTTTCGGGTCAGGATGTAGGTCGAGGCATATGAAAAGGTTTAAAGTGTTTGTCTGCGTGGATTATCTGTCTAAATTGTTGTTTATAGGGATTTCTGATGTACATACATAATATTTGTCTTGTCTGTCTCTGAATGGTAAAGGTACACTGATAAAACAACGGACATCGTGCGTGGAGAGACACCAACAAGAGACGGGACAAACAAATAAACTTTGTAACTGCTAAGGTCAAAAAAATACCTTGGGCTTTCTATGTCGGAAGGTAAAGGCCAGTTCTTCTAATATAAAAGACCATGCCTACAAAACGTAAGTTCGTCCCTGCATCTGTATGAGAACCCCAATAATACCAACCAAGTGAGCCAAATTAAGATAGTACAATGACGTGCCGTAGATTCGTGTGTATTATATATTATAAGATCGGTAACTGACATTAACGAACCATTACACTGGTTTTCCCTTCAGACACTTCATTCTGGTAATGTTCTACAAAGTTCTCAATAATAATCGCAATATATTCTACAGAGCTACAAATTTCAGCAGACACTAGAACCAGAGTCTTGTCACCGCAGTCTTCAAACTTTCAAACGCGTGTATACACCCAAAGACTACATCTGATACAGTGGAAGCTTTCAAAGCTGCCCTCCCTGTATGATATCTTTTCTGTACATTTTAAATTATTCTCTCCGTGCACATAGTTTCATCATAAAACAAATGAACACACAAACAAAAAACAACAAAACAAAAATTTCAATGTACATTCCAGCGAATGACAAGAAGAAAAAATCACGACAGGAAACTTATCCGAAGTTGTCGGTGCGTTTCTTTTATAACGGAGATTAGGATTTATATATTGTTATCTATATCATTATTCAGGTGACGGCATTTAATTTAGCTGTGACATTATAACCGACGTTGATCAGTGGATTGAGAATATCTCCTACTGTAACGACTAAGCAAAGTGTATCATCTTCATCAGCATTCTGACATTATTGACAAACTCACTTGAAGCGTAGAAAATTTCTTTCGGAACATGTTACAAAGGTTATCATTAGCAAACTCTCCACATTTCGATGACACGTTTGAGCATGCCGTTACTATATAATTTTTTTCCAATATCATTTCGATGTCGATGATCTGCCTCAGCCGGCAAGATGGCCGCCATCATTAGGCTAGCGTTAGAATTTCATGCGTATATCGGGGATCAAATCGTGAAATTGATTCAATAAAATGAAGCGTTACATAACTGTTATTTCAGAATATCGAATCGACTACGATATGTAAGCAACCTAAGTTGGGGATGCGCGGATACGCAATTTTCACATGTCTGTACAGACAACGGGAATTGGGGCCAATTCTTACGCTCCGTCACTTAAATTTCGTTACCTTACTACACTGCAACATTTAGTAATGTTACCAAATTTCCCAATATAAACACGCACATATTCACATTTGTATATAGGTATTCATTTCTAATTAATTACCTGTTCATTCACAAGTAAATTAACATGAAATCATCGTACATCACACAAGCAGGCTAACCCTTATTCCATCATCATCACCGTTATTACCATCATCATGCATGAATTACACACTGTCATTATGGTATTACAGCACTAATGTAGTGTAATATTGTATATGATATGTAATCCGTCCCGTTTTCCAGTGACTTGGCCTGAATATTTTTTCGTATATGTCACTAGTGTAATATATTCTAGAGCATTTTTCATTGGCTGATCCAGTCAAACTCGATTGTGATGTCATATAATGGGTAATGATGTAGCGTCAATAATTGAAAATGCCACATTAGCAAAATGGCTGCCTTCGTTTCATTCTCTTCTCCGTATTTTGACCTTAAATCCTGTCAAAATTTAACTTTTTCTGAGTCATGCGATTAAAAGTATCTATTCAAGTTACCGTTTCATATGAATTTTATAGTAAATGTAGTCTTGTTTATTAAAAACAGAATACAAGAGTACCGCCAGGCGGAACAATATACGCCCGTCTTCTGCTCGTGATTAATTAAGTGGGATGGATGCAAAAGCATAGAAATGGGAAAATTGAGAGTAAAAGTCAAGACGGAAAACAATGTTATAGCATACCAGGGTTTAAACCGATAGCTCTAAAACTAAATTGAATTGTAAAAATTATAATCAAAAAAGCAAACAAACAAAACAAACAAACCTTTTAAATCTTGTTGAATCAAAGAATAAAGAAAAGTATGCTTTTGTATGCAAATCTAGTGGCATTAAAAATATGGTAATGAGGCAATTAATTTCTAAAAAAAGAAATATGAAATAACAACTCAATCTCCATGTCATGAAAATGAAGTATATCGAAGAATGAAAATTTAGTGAGGAAACCTACAGACAAGATCTTAATGCTTACTAAAATAAAAGGCAATAACTCCTTGAAAAAGTGTTGGATTGGACCGAGACTGACACACAATTTCGAATCATACTTATAAAGCCAACAAATGCAAATTTTGAAACTATTAACATAAACCAGAGAAAAAAGACAAGATATGGACAAGATTAACATTTTGAAAACAACAAACGGCAGTTACTCTTCCAAATGCAATATCGTCCTAACTCTCACCAAGTCTAAATCTTACCAAATCTCACGAAATCTCACGAAATCTCATCAAATCTCAACCAGTCTCAGTTTCGTCAAATCTCGCCCTATCACTGCAACATTCATCAATTTTCATAAAATCACACAAATCTAATTCAATCTCAATCTCACTAAATATCAACTTATCTCACCAAATTTCACTAAATATCGCCCAATATCATCCAAACTCTCCTCACCATAACTTATATCTGATCCGGTCTCAACCAACCTTACCCAGTCTTACCAAATCTCATCCGATCTCAAGCAATCGCACTTATCCTACCCAATATCATCCACTCTCAACAATCACACCAACTTTTGCCGAATTTCAATTTTACAGAATTAATCGAAATGTCACTAGATCTAGCTCAATCTCACCCAATCTCACAAAATCACACAAAATCTCACCCGATCTCAACCGCACGAATCTCCCTCAGTATCACTCAATTCGGCCAAATTTCGCAAATCGCATCCAAACTCATCTCACCATATATCTCCCAGTCACAATCTCAAAAGAATGCTTATCCCATTCCACCACTTCACACCAAATTTCGTCCGATTTCCATTCCACCAAATTTCACGAAATACAACCAAATCTCACGGTATTGCATTCCCACGAGATCTTACACAATCTCATCCAATATCAAAACATACCATAATAACACACCCAATCTAACTTTTATGAAATTTCTTGAAATGTCACTAAATCTTACTACATTTTATCTAGTCTAATCGAATCACACCAAATCTCATAAAATTTACCCAATAACAATCTCACGAAATATCACAAAAAATCTCACCCTATCTCATCAAATTTCAGCTATTCTCAACAAATCCAAATGTCACCAAATCTAAATCGTATGGAATCCTACAAAATCTCAGTCTCTCGAAATCCAACCCAATCTCAACTAATCTCACCCAATTTCATCAAATCACCCAAAATCTCACCCAGCCATACTAGAACATCAAAATATTACCCAATCACACCAAATCATACCAAATCTCACCCAATCATAACAAATCACACCAAATCTCACCCAGTCAAACCAAATCACACCAAATCACACCAAATCTCACCCAGTCAAACCAAATCACACCAAATCGCAGCAAATCTCACCCAATCATAACAAATCATACCAAATCTCACCCAGTCAAACCAAATCTCACCAA